TTGGCTTTTTTTTTAAATATTAAATAATTAATAATAAATATTAAGCATTAATAATTTAACAATATTTAATATTTAGTATATTATTCAATTATTAATTAATAATAATAATTATTTATTATATTATTAATTCAATTTAATAACTAGGTATGTTTCATAACCTTTTAACTAAGTAACAATAGGTCTTTGTGAAAAAGCATTGCTAAATTTCTTTGAAAAAATAATTAAAACTCCTTTATTTGTTTAAAAGGTACTACAAATGTCATTACGGTCATTCAAAATTCTTAGCATAGCTGCTAACGTCACGCATATTTCTTTTAGATTGTCTTATTCCATTTCATGCGCGGCGCCCATACTGATAATTTTGTGTCACGGTGCGCGCGCATTGTAAAATTTCATTCTCATAAATTTTTCATAACGCGCCTTAAGAAGTATAACTTCAAAAAAAAATTAAACGAAATTTACCAAATATTCCCTAAGTTACAGAGAAGGTTTCGGATTAATTGGTAGTCCGATAATATACAAGTTTTACTCACTTGAACGGCGGGTGGGCATCCATGTCCTAAATTCTCCTCAAGAAAGTAAACTCGTAATTTGAGTTGGAAATTTTCTTTTCTGAGTGCGTTAAGTTGTTCTTCATACTGTTTCAAGCTTACACCACTTGCCGATGTCACGTCTAAAATAACAAAAAATATAATATCTAGTATATTATATTTTTTTCAGTATAATATATTATGTTTTTTTTCAGGCCGGCCAAGCGTTGCTGTGGCTAAGGTTTTTGTTATATTATATAGTAGCAAACTATTCAAGGGAAACGGTAGGAGAACACCAGTCATGGGGACCACCACGCTTTTTTGGTGGTTATGCCATTAAATTGTAGCTTATATGAAACGTTGGTACTTTCAACATAGCGCCATCTGTTAGAATTGTGACTATCAAATAATAAACAAATATTTTACAATAAAATAATATTGCGGGTATAAATTAAGATGTAAGCTATCCTATCTTTTAAGTTGGATCAAACTACACACGGTGTGCAAATTTGAATGAAATGGGTTCGGTAGTTTAGGAGTCTATAGCGGACATTAAACAACGTGACACGTAATTTATATATATTAAGATAATATATAATAAAAATAGTATTAAATCTCACATACCATGAATTTCTGTATATGGTGCCATTTCAGGTAATTTCCGTGGACTAGAACTGAAAAAAAGAAAAATAATTGAGTTTATGTCCTATACTCTGCAACACAGACTAGGAAAACATCTTTTACAAAAAAAGATTTTTAAAAGATTTTACTAAGACATGACCATGTCATTGCCTAAAATTTTCAAGACATAATAAAAACAAAAACATTGTAAACCTCCTCGGGTTTTATTTAATTTCTAATAAACTAAATATTTTTTACATGACTTTATTCAGGTATGATTTAACAATTTATTGCCAACCTCACATTCTTCCATAAACTAATGGCACTGTAAAAAAAACCTTAAATTGTATTTTTCTTCTGGAGTGAAAACATACTATATCTATTGAGATACCATGTTGTACCTGTAATATATTTCCTTACTGCCAAAAACTTGAAGGTCAAGTCACTTTTGGATTTTACAAAGGCGCCTCGGTATAATAGAAAAGCTTTTACAAAAATAAAACAGATAGGACAATGTACACTTATGAACGTCAAAAAAGAAATATATATGAAATGCTTCTAATTTTACATTTACTGCCAGTTCTCAAGTAATGCATATATGACTTAACACCACCAGGTATATCCAGCATACCCAGGCCTTAACTTCAGCCTTCAACTATTTGATATAACTGTTTGTTATATCAAAAAGGTATCTTAAATAAGTAATAAATAATTTATTGTATCCTGAAAGCATAGTAAAATATGAATTTATTTTTAAATTAATATACTTATACACCATGTTTGTAATAAATATATTTTGCGAATAAAACATCAATACATCCAACGCTCAGCTAGAAATAATTGATAAGAATTAAGAAAAGACATACGCGCGAAAATTGGAAAAAATATTTGTGCGCACGCATGATGCAGGCTTATGCGTCATAGACAAAACACACTTAAGAGTCAAAGTTCAAACTGATCATGCAATAATTAAGACAGGGTTCACAACCGTACGATAATTATCGTACATTTGCGATAATTTCATAACTACGTACGATGTACGATGGTACATGACTATCGTACGCAGATTGTACGATAATTTCCAGTCTGATAAAAAATTTGATGATTACACAGATAGCCCAATAACAATTACAGTTTTTAGTGTCAGTGCCATTTATTGGCTTATTTTTCTATTAGGAACTTATGCTGTCACAAGGCAACTACAGCAGATGAACAAAGCGTTAATGTACAAACACAAAAACGCATCAGAATGCACAGCCAAAAATTCACGATTTGTATGGTGCGCAGATTTGGAAGTCTTCGATAACATTTTAATACCTAACGAATTTTAAGTGATAAAAATAATATGCGATGTTTACGGACAATAGGTATATCATTAGAGCGAACACCATATTGTTACGAGAAAATATTGCGTATTTTTGTTCCTCTTTGACGAAAGCGATTGAATTATATGATTTTTTTCAATTTGAAAAACAAAGTTTACAAGATTTAAACTATAAATCGTTTGCAACATTTTATTTCACGTTTCAAGATTTTTAAAGTATTTTTAGCCATTTTCTGACTGTACGATAATTTATCGTATATGGATCACATATACGATAATTTTACGGCCTGGTACGAGGGGTTGTGAATAATTAAGAATAATTTAGTTTAAACCAGTGCTATCTATAGTTAGGTGATCATTAGTTATAAACACAATTTATTATTTACATACCTAAATGGAGACGCAACATTTTTTGATGAATTTCCATGCTTAGTATTATTAACTCGCGGTAATGTCGCCATTGTTACACTCTGAATAAATAAATATTGTCACTTGGAAATTACATAATACGTATTAACTTACGCAGCACCAACACAATATCGTTTATAAATAATTATAAATCACTATAGGTAAACAAGAAAACGTTTTATTCGGAACCTACACTTGGCCTTTAATATTAACAACAACACTATCACAATATATTGTTTTACGCTAATCACTTGTAACAATTTTTTCTTACTTCTGTAATGAATTGTTTTTATTCAATGTTGATACTGTAATTAGGGCAAAGGAAGATTCGTCATGTCGGATAAAATCACATCGAGATTTAGAAAAGGAAGAAATAATGGTTTATTCACGTAAGAACGAGATGGGTACATTCAGAAGTTAGGGACTAGGGAGCAGACGGATGCTGCGGGGCGGGATAGTGATTGCAATATGCGCGACAAAAATAGAAACGACGCGTCAGTATGTAACATGTAAATTGTTCTCAGCTTTACTGGACAAAATAGCTAACTTTTACCAATTCATGTTGCTGATACATATTTACAAAAGAACTTACATACTTCCGATAATTTATCTCTTTGTTATAATGTCTACACAGTAAGCAGTTAAAATAAGTACCCTGAGAGCAGATGGATTTATGATGCTATAATTTTTTAAAATTGAGTATAAATCTATGTTAAAAAATGTTAAATTACTATACATTATTTGCATAATTATCATATATTACAAACAAGAAGAATTTTCACAGGCAGTGCTTTTCTTTTCATCTTTTAAAGATAATTAATAATGGTGGGGAAGGTCAAGATGATGATTTGTTTGAATTGATTGAATTATATATTTATTAATACTATTTTAGTGTAGTTACACCCTAGACACCTACAATTTTAAATAATCTGAAACTGACATTGCTCAAAGTGTTTATTGGCGAGTTATATATATTAGTTCGACTTTCTAACCAGGCTGTGTAACAATGGATTTCTCTTTCTAAGTGTCAATGAACACTTGCTCTATAAAGGTGGAAAATATCATGAGATAACCTGATTTTATAAACCACAAAATAAAATAAAATATTCAGATTTTTGAAGGATAATTACACTAAAATTGTAATGTTCATTTTAGAGATGTATGAGATTCCACTTAACAAAAATTCAATTTAAAAAAAAAGAAATTCATTCTAAATCCGTGTTTCAGTTGTCCGTTGTCAGCTGATTAACCTAAGTTCAGTGAGTTAATACAATATTATATAAATATAGTAAAAATTAATAAGTATAAACAAAGTAGCTTAGTTAGACACAATGACATACACAACTACATAATATTGTTTCTTTTTTGCATATCCTTTCCAAAACAAAAGTTCAGGTACCAAAATGAAAAAATTTCATTTTAATTCAATCTTTAACTTATAAAATTAAATTTGGTAATATTGAAATGGCAAGTAGAAATTTATTTCGATTTTAAATGATTCAATCTATCACAAACAAACATGATGATTTTATACTGTTGAAATGGCGCTTACCCTATAGGCAAACTCGTCTCTCCAAGTAGTTCGGCCATTATATCTGGATCATAAAATTACTGTGAAAAGAAAAAAGTATCTTTGGTGCATGGAACTAAACATCAACCGGCAATAATGTAAAAAAAAATATTATAAGATATATGATTCAAAAATACAAATACTTACAGAACTTAATTATTCAATGGTAATATACAAATCGTTAACAAAGTATTACTTAGTAAATAGTAATTAGACTGGTTTTTTATAAAGTCTTTATTTCCTATTTCGACTATATCATTTGAAAATAACCGAAATATAACTGACACCAAAGAGATATATATTATACTAGACACAGCAAACGTCATATTACATTCGGACTTTTCAAATCTGAGCACATAGATAGTTTTCAGTTGTCAATATTGACAATTAACAGTCATTAGTCAATTCCAATTCTGTATTTTATATTTATCGTTGAATAAACGAGACAATCCGATACCTAACCCTTTAAGATAACTTTTTGAATACTAATGTGTTATTAAAATAAATTCGAGTTACTATGTTTTCTGGAATTTGTAATATTGCTGAAATGTCTCTATCAAGAAACATTAGAGTAATAATCAATAGAGTGGTTCTAGCAGATAGAAGAATAGGCGTACGTTTATACTCAGATGAATCCAATGAAAATGAAGAACAAAAACCAATTGATCCTACCAAAGACAGAACGAAAATAATTCCTGTTGAGATAAGCATTAAATATTTAGAAAGTAACGCATTTAATCAGACATATGGTGATAAACCTGTGTGGTTTTTTTATCGGAGAAACCATAAAGGTGGTTTCGCACCAAGAAAGACAAGACAGTCGTGTATTCGAAATAAAGTAATTTCGACTGGTAATCCTTGTCCAATTTGCAGAGATGAATACCTTGTACTGGATCCGAGAAATACAAAATTATTGGAACAATTTATATCCGAATATACTGGCCAGGTAATTTTGTTATTATATCTGTTTGAAATAATAATTCAGAACTTACTATCAATATTATCAAGAAAGTTCAACCATGTTTTATCATATTTAATATGTTTCGTGATTCTTAGCTTAGAGTTGTTCTTATTCTGTTTGAAAGAAAGAACTATGTTTATTCAACACTTACTGCACTATAGAAAATTAATATGTATTAGATTTGGAATCTCAGTGGAAACAAAAAACATGTTTAATTTCAGGTTTTAGATGCTTTTAAAACTGGACTTTGTCAAAAGAAGCACAAACAACTACTGGTTGCAATTGAGCAAGCTTGGGATCAAGGATATCTCACCTATGATGTGCCATTTAGGGAATATGATTATTCATTATATAAAAGTCAAATAACTTTGTAAATGGGTGATAAATAGACATGGTAGATAAATTAATTAATTTTCCTTATAGTATTGTTCTTTGATCCTGAGGAATACATCAGAAAAAGTTTATTTATTTGTAAAGAAGACATAGGCATGTCTTCTTTGCAGACCTAAATAAATGTCTGTTAAAATAAATATGTAAAAATGACAGAAAAGACTTTTATAACCTTATTTACTCTTCAACATTATTATGGCATTTATTATTAATAAGCAAAACTAGTTGTGTCAATTAGTGCACCTAGCACAAATCCTAGGGTAAGATTCAGAGTTGAGACTCAGTGCTAGGTATTCAACTCCTGTATATTAAAAAATTTATTTGATTTTGTGAGAAACAACAAATTGGCACCATCTGCAGCTTACTGTGAGTGTTCACAGTATTAAGCATTATGGTTCAGGTTTTCACAGTATTTTAATCTGCAATTCATCTTAGATTAGGATTTTTATTTTGTTATTTGAAATGCATATTTTTATACATTTTAATGATAATAATAATTGTTTGGTTAATAATTTATCCATTTAATATTTAAGGATTAATAATAACAATAATATATTTATTTTATATTATGGCAATTTGAATGAATATTGGCTATAATTTCTAAATATTAAATACCTGAATCTTATTTTAAATATATTAATGTTAGATAAAATTATTATATTGCCCACATGCATATTTACAATCTCTTTTCCTATCAAGGTTAAAACTAATTAATACAAAAAATTTCGACAATTTCAGCAAAAAATATATTTTTATAGGATTTTTGGGCTCAAACTGATTTCTTAACTTGATGTCATTGTCTTCATAACACATAGACAACTACTAAGTAATAACAGATAGATTTTTTAACCTGACCTAAAAGAGAGTTTGACCTGTTTGTGTCTGTTTCTGACGTTGTAGATTTTTTCTGGGCATCTGGTGGATTTATTTATTTTCTAAACAAATGGACCAATTATTTTTGTATTGATTCCAATGGGTCTTAGCTAGTTTTTAACTTAACATTTCGAACACCCATATATGCTGGCACCACCGATCTAATGACATGATCAGGCTTAAAGATTGAGTAGGGTTACTTATGCATAACATTATTAGCCAAAATTATCAATAATTTTAGTTCTATTCCTTTGAAGTAGTAACTCTCTTATGAGTGCTGATTTCTCTCGTTCCAATATTGATATCCTTTCATTCTTTCTGTTAACTTCCTGCAATATTATAAACAATTTATCAAACAGCTAAAAATATATACATTACTGTCAAATATTGTATGAATGTGAGCGTTGTCTTAGTGGCTTCAGTGTCCAACTCTCTCATTTAACATTCGCTCGAACGGTGAAGGAAACCGGCTTGCCTTAGACCCAAAAAGTCGAAGGCGTGTGTCAGGCACAGGAGGCTGATCACCTACAATTTCATGGCAGAGATAGTTAAAGACAGTTTCATTGTGTTTATTGTCAAACTATGCCAAGAGTAATAAGTAGAAATTATTCTATAGCCTGGATATTCAGAGTATATTTTGTATGAGAGGTTAAATTGTTTATTAATTATACATTGGAAACGTTTTACCTCGGCTAGCATCCGATTCTGTGTCCTAAGCACTGTAGCATTATTTGGTGTGCTATTAGGAGGATTGAATATTGACGCTGGTAACGCAAGGTTCATGTGAAGTGACAAGGGCCAGTGACGCCACCCGGTTGCTGAAGCTAGCGCCCCTAATTGTCGGTTTAGTTCAAGTATTCGAGCTCGCAAAAGTTCTAGTCGCTCTTGCTGTGCTTCATTCCAGGGTTCCTAAGGAAGTGAATAAATAAGTGATATAATTGACTAAATTTATATACCTATGTTTCAGTTCCTGTAGCGGTACTATGACACATTTCTGATGGAACGTATTAATTATTGTTAGGGAAAGTTCGTTTGTGTGCCTACTAACGCGAAATAATTATTGTTACTTACTTCGGGAATCGTATACAGGAACTATCTGTTATGGTGTACTTTGATAAATATTATTGTAACGTAATATATTTTTCGTCCCTATATGACCTACGTTGATCCCAATAACGAACGCAATTAAATAATTTATGCAAGTCAATAAATCATAAAGTTTAAAATAAATTCGTTTAATTCGGATTGTTGTAGTCTCGATTTATCACTACAATTTTACAATTATTTAACGAACGATGTACCTATATATTTGTTATCGTTCTAATCAGTTTAAAACTTAATATTGAAATGTGTTTATTACAAAATAAACCTACCACATAAGCGCCCATTCGTCCAGTATAACGGATTTTATCTTGTACTTCCGCCAATTGCTTAAGGTACCATTCGCGAGCTTCTTCTACAGCCGAAAGTCCCTGAAGTAAAATATCCTTCTCTTGTTCTATTTGTTTCATTTTTTTGATAAGGTTGTAGTCTATCCCATTATGTAGAGTGTGCCGACGAGGCTCTCTTCTCCGCGACGTAGTGCGGCTCAAGAATGACTGAGATCCAGATGCTGAGCGTCCATCTCCTAATCCTCTTCCTTGACCCTCTAACATTCTGGATATCTCTGGTATATCTAATTTATTATCTCTTATGTTTTCTGGTTCCGATAAAATTCTAGTATTTTCTACAGTTTCGATAGCAGGTTTGTCTAACCTAGGTGGCTTTGGGGGACCGTGGCCACTTTGTAATAAATCGTATTTGGAGATGGCTGTCTCGAGGGGTGATTTTTCGTGCAAATTTTTGTTTTCAGCTAGATGTGGCATGCTATGAGTGCGATGTGATCCTGTTGTTTTTATTGACGTCCAGTTTCTTTCTCGCTGTGGATTATTAATGTCCATTATGGGAACTGAAGGTGGCCTTTTATCTTGAACACTTACTTGAGGGTGAAATGAAGGTTCAGATTCTTCATTACTTATTTGCTTAGACGAAGATTGAACCTGATTCCGTAAAAGGCATATTTTAAGTCCAGTACAAAAGCTCTCAAACGTTAGAAACCCATCATGGGAAGCAACTTTTTGAAGGCTTTCAATAACACCATGGGGCAATCCCTTTGTACGGTCATCTCGCCACCGGTTTTCTATATCTGTTAACATAACATACCCAGTTTGTTTGTCATCCATTATATCAAATAATGTTCGCATCGCTGAAACGAACTGTTTCGGCAAAGATTCCATCTTTGGGTAAATAAATTTTGAACCATTATTATATAACCGGTGGGAGCGGTGCTGAGAGCACTTATATTCACGCAACACACTACCAAATGATATCGAATGAAACTATTAAATTAAATGATCGAGTACAATAAGGTAACTTAGTGTCAGACCCTGTTGAACGATAGCTGTAGGTGTGATTTTGCGAGGAACTGGCTGTGCCGTTCATGTGTGAGTATACAAAAACCGGTCAAGCGGCATTTTGGTTTGATAAGTAGACGCGATTGACTAGTATAAGTAGCACAGTCACAGTTACTTATTTATAAATATTAATTAAGATTTAACAGTTTGAACTTATAGAAATCTCACTCATATACTTATAATATGCTGCAAAAAATATACACTGCTATGTATTGCATTTTCTTTGACGTCTCCTTTATTAATATTTGTAATAAACATTAAGTATATACGCATTTTTTAAAAACAATTTGTAGCCTATAGGAAGATCGAATGAGATTCATTTCTGGTTCGATATTAAATGTCTATATATTAAATCAGCTAACCCTACCGAGTAATAACTCGAATCCAAGACTTCCATGCTAAATCAATTAAATATTAATCTTTTGAGGAGAGCCTAAGCAACAGCCTTACGGTGCAGTTTATTAGCCTTATTTCAGATACCGATGTCTTCGAGTAGGAATAGCCATGATCCCTTTTGCACACAATGTATTTTCTCAAATATACTCCGATATTCCACATATATAAATGTAACATGTATTATAATAATGCAATTTTGCAATTATGATTTTCCGTTATTATTTAATCCGAATAGTGTGTTCATCTCACGTATGTGTTCACATTTTTACCATCAAACTATTTTTGGATTTGGACCACCGCCGTTTTTTATTTTTAAACAAAATAGGAACCAAATTTCCACGGAATAATGGACATGTCCTAAATTTGGTATAAAAAGATGTCTACACTTAGAGTAAGCGTAATTTTGTTTTGCGATAATCACTCTTTTAACAATCATACGCGAAGCGAAAAAACGTTTTTTTTTGTTGTATCCTTTCTTTTTTGGCTATGCTGAAATTTTCGAAGCTTTAAATTCTATAGTAGAAACCGTTATAAGACTTGTCTTCTATTAAATGTCTCCATTTGAAAAATCATATATTTTAAGATATTAAAACGCCAGACAATCTGTAATCACGTTATCAGTGTTAATTTTAACTTATGGGCACGCCCAAAGAAATCCCGGTGGAAACAGTGACCTATGGCGGTTGAAATATTATATGTGGGGTTGGATTTAGATATACGTCGCCTGAATTTGATGTTACTGATTATGTAGATAACTCAATAGAGTTCCCCCACCTTGTACCCCCACCTTGATAGGACCTCCAAGTAATTTTGGCTGCCGGAGTTGCGTCTAAGTATAATTTTGTGTATTGTATTGAAATACGTGTAACGAAACGTACATTTTATACTTTTCTCTTAATTATTATAATATTTCAAGCAGCGTGTATTTCAAAACATGTGAACCAAAACGCAAACCGCTACTACTAGTATGAATGTAGATTTAGACACAAAGAAATAACCTACACTGACAGATTCAATCCGTTACTTTCAAGTTTACGTGAATGTGCTTCTGCGTTTATTTTATTTGGATTTTTGGAAACTTGGTTATATTATACAATCGAGGTAATTGTTACTAGTCTGTTCTACGTGAGTGTTGTTTTAAATCCGTAGGCGCTGAGGAAGAGCAGCCCTAACCCGCTATAACAAAGGCATAATGCCTGTGCTTTGGTACGCATAATGCCGGCGCGTGAAAGTGGTTGGGAGTGATAACCCTACCCCTCCCACTCGCAACCCCAATTCGGGGGACGTATTTTTAAATCGTTACCAATATGTGTTTGCTACTATAACGTAAGTCTGTGAAACGCTGGCTATCCGTAAGCCTATGATAATAGTATTTCAAACTCAACTTGTTCGATTATCGCTTCCTTGAAAAATTATATTAACTACTTTTACTTTAATAGTATTTTTTTTTTTCGCCCATGGTCTGTATAGTCTTTCGACCATACCGTCTAGTCTTTCGTAGAAAGTATATTTTGTATTGTAAATGTAATATTATTACTTCAAAAGAACGCGCGAAATATATGAAGTTTTTCACAATAGTTAAGTCTGTTACACCTATTTTCTAACTACTTTTGATTTTTGAAGATCACTTATCATAAATTAATAATTTTTACTCTGAGTGATCTGAGATGTACAGATTATAATCAGTATGCTGTGTATATTTTAGTTAGATATACATTAGTATATAATAAAATAATATACTCTAAAAAGTACTGAAAATAGCAGCTTAGTCACTTGTCCAACGATTTCAGTTCAACACGAGGTTGGGTTAACGGCTAAAAATAAAAAAAGGTAAAATAAGGCAATATGAAGACTTTAGAAGGTTAATGTACTCTACGGTATAATCTATGGTTAAAATATTATTAAACAAGAGTCAAGAAGTAATAACATGGCTAATGCACAAACCGTGCCAGACCCAGAGCCATAAAGAGAAAAAAAAAGTAATAACATTAAACATTATTAAAATTTAAAATCTTTATTCGGCTCTGCTTCCGGCTTCTTCGTAGTTATTACACGTAGTAAAAGCAATAAAAGCATAAAAATGGAAAATGTTTGGGAAAAGAGAACGTTAGAACGTTATTAACTCCGTAACGGTCCTAGAAGTATATGTGCATAACAAAGCCGATACCGATAGCGGTTTAAACATCTACCACAAGTCTACGATATGGAGGATATACAGACTTCTCATTTAGCCGCTGCTTTAATGTCCGGAGGTGGAACTTATTCTAACGTTACTTTCGAACCACCGGCTTCATCCGGAAATGTTAGTGAGGGGCATTCAGAAGAAAAGAAAGATCTTGTTACAACACACACAGAGCCTCGAGACGAAGACAAAGAAGAAAAAGATGATTTGGGAAGTGGTGAAGAATTTACAGATGAGGTTTGTTTATGTTTTTATTCAGGTAGGGGGAAAAACTGCATGCCAAAGTATGTGGTTTTCTCAACAAACAAACTCTTCAGCTTATATAGTATAAAATTAAAATGCACTATGAGGTTGTGTTTGATTCAGGCTTAATCAACTCAACAACTGATTTTGATAAATATATAGAATACAAAAGAACCTCTGAAAATAACATGACTTCACTGTAACTGTGACTCCTTAATAGTAATATTTTTTTAACTTTTAGGAATCAGAAGCACAGACTGGTAACAAATCTACACCAGGAAGGTGTGTGACTCTACAAATGCTATTAGAAGATAAAATGTTAGAGCCTGGAATAGCGGCAATGACTATTGAATATCTAGTGAGTAACAAGTTTGAAGTATTACTTATTAATAAAATAATTGTTTTGAATATAAATTTAAATAAATGGAAGGAAGTGAAAAAAGCCTAATTTAATTTTGGTTAAGATTTTTCAAATTATTTTTATTATGTGATGTGTAAATCCACAAATTTACACTATGGCATGACAAATATATAATTAATTCTGTTTAGTTGATCACTTTTTATTATAGTAGGCAATTGGTTCTTTTTTGTTTCCACCCTAATTGCTCTCAGTATATAAATGTGTTATCTACTAAAACTGACAGTGTGTTCTTTGTATAAAACTTTATATGTTGCTGCTTTCATAAACATACAAACAAAATGTATATCAATAAATTTTAATTTATGTATATTATAGGACAAAATAATTTTTACTTGAAGTTAAATTTCAATTTTTAATCTAAATTTTGATCTAAATCTACAACTATTTAATTAAATCAAGTTGTAGTATTTGTAGATAGAGATTAAGATCAAGTTTAAATACCAGATGTTACATTTTTCAGGGACAAAAATTTGTTGGTGATTTGCAAGCAGATGGTAAAATTAAATCTCATGAGACTGAAACAATATTCTGTTCCCCATCTGCGTGGGCCATACATTGCAAGAGAATAATAAACCCAGACAAAAGATCAGGTTGTGGATGGGCTTCTGTCAAATATAGAGGAAAGAAATTAGATACTATTAAAGCTACATATCTAAGGAAAAAACAATTGCAACGAGAAAACATGCACACTGATGGTAAGAGTTCATATTCCTTAAGTATTATAGAGAAATGGTCTTGGCTTTTTATATTTAAAACTATTTATTTGGTAAAACATATATCAAATATGTATCTGATTTCATTAATTTTTTAAAATACTATAATATATTTTTCTAATATTTATTTAATATCAAAATATTTGTATTTTTCTTAATGTGTATGAAATACAATTTTACAGAGGAAGTAGAAATGGAGGTTGAAAATCCACCAGAACCTCCACCACAAAGAGTAGTCATGAAGCACAATACTGTCCCTAACAGAATGATGCAGCAGTATGTACATTTTCTATCACTTTTAAAATCTGCATAGATATGAAACAACAACTGTGAATTTTACAAATAATAACTTTTTATATAAATAAATATCGGAAAAAATTAAAATAAAAACTATTTGGAGAAGGCATATTTGACAATACTTTGGCTGAATACTTAAGAATTTTAATTAGAAATAATATTTTTGATAGAAAAAAGTAATATCTTAATTTATTCACATGCACAGTTGTGACAAGACCTACGACGTAAATGTATTTTAAAATATATCCATGTTAAAATTTCAGTGATGCCAACATGTTAATTGAAGCAATATCATTCTCTTCTGCTGGTAAAGTGCAGCCATTTCTGGTATCTGTCAGTTCAAATGCATGTCTCGTACTAGACATACATTGCCATTTAAAGAAAGAGGAGGTCTATGGGTACCTTGCTGGGACATGGGATATGAATAATCATCGTAAGTTGTACATAAATAATTAAATTTGTTAGCTGTTTCTTGAAATGTAGTAGCCAAATGTTAGAATTAATTTTTTCAAAGGAATAGAAGAATATACAATTAGATTTAGTAAGTGTTTTGAATCGTAGGCCCCTCTGGGCCATTGTGCATTTCCAACTAAGTCATGGCATTAACATCTGCAACAGAATAACATGTTTCGTGTTATATCAATTTTATTAATTTAAAATCCCGGGGTATACTACTTCTATGATTCCAGGTGTATTGATGATGAAATGAATTTTAATTAGAAATCCACTTAGGACATATGACAAAACAAAATACACATATTATATAAGTCCTATGGGCACAACAAGCAAAAGTCAGCGCTGTACACCAAATTAACTTAAGGATACTATTGATACCTTATAAATAATTCATTGAAAGTAGACCTTCAAAGCTTTGTTTTATTTTTCTAATTTATTTTACAGATGTTACAATAACACACACATTCCCATGCTTGATAAGTAAAAGTGACAGTCAACCTCGGGTGCTTGTTGAGTTTGATATCCAAGTTGAAATTGAAAAACTTGGGCTAACTCTTTTGGGATGGTACCACTCGCATCCAACTAACCCAGCGATGCCAAGTCTTAGAGATTGTGATAACCAACTAGAATATCAAATCAAAATGAGAGGACCTTCAGAGATATCTTATACACCTTGTATTGGCGTTATATGTTGTAAGTATATTTTTATAGTGTCTTCATTATATAAGTGTCTATATAGTAAGGTATATGTTTATTTTTATTAGCTCTATATTAGGTTTAGAGGAATTTTTTAATTAAGAATTATTTACATTCACTATATTTGTAAGTTAAGGAGATAATTTCTGGCATATATCATTGTTTCCCTTTGAAACTGAAGTAAACTCAGTCAAAAATGATAGCTGAATATATATATATATAATTCTTCTGTGAGTGTATATATCACTGAACTTCTCTCAAACTACTGGACCTGTGTGTGTGTTCAAGGGGATCTGGGAATGGTTTAGATTCACAAATCAGCCCGGCAGATGGCACTGCAGTCGGTACTTTCATACTTTGCTTAATATCCTAATCGCTTTAAATATCATGCAGGATGTGGGGTCCACTAGTATATATATATATAGCTTCAGCTATAATTTTATAAGTTTATAAGTTTAATACCAAACATGACAAATGACCTTTCTTATTAATCAAACTTATTGCAGATCTAAGTAAAATGTAAAATAAGTTTGATATTATTACAAAAATGTTCAGTATTAATTTTATTCTGTCTGAGCAGTGTCAGGCACCAATGCACTTTTTATCTATGTGCGCATTTAACACTCGCTCCTACGATGAAGAAAACCGGCATGCCTTAGACCTAAAAAGTCAGTGTGTCAGAGTGACAAAAAAATATAATAAATTTAAGCCATTATAAATATTATTTCAGCACCATATAATCCCGAAAGTCCGGTATTGGAATCGTCGCTCACATTCTTTTGGGTGATGCCGCCTTCAGAACAAAGGCCGACAGAGTATCCGCGTCCTTTATTACTACAATATAACATGATTAACGAATCACACCTATCTACCCACGCAATGGAACAAATAAAGAAAAGCATAAAATACTATTTTACACACGCAGACGAAAATTTCATCAACTTCAAAGATAACTTCAAACCCGATATCACGTTTTTGGATAAATTAAAATCAACTCTAGCTCCAAAATTCCCTAAGGAACAAAGCGATGGTTTACTTTGGCATTTTATTAGGGACGAGTTGGGATGTGCCTCTGAAAATGACGATAAGATGGATTTGGACGCCCTATTAGCTGTACCACAACCTATTCCTGCTTCTAAGCCCAGTCAGACATCGATACCTAACTTTCCTTCGGTCAGCACTTTGCAACAAATGGTCAGCCGACCGGCTGGTGTTCCTCCGATAAATGTCTCCTCTGCCATAGGCTCTCTATCGCCCCATAAGTTTGAGTCTCCTTTAAATATACCAGTTTTGTCTACTTCTTCTAAATCGTCTAAATCCTCCTCGTTACCTCCATCTTACCACGGCTTAGATATGTTGACTAACATGGCTTTAGGGTTAGGTCCTTCAAACATTCCGCTCTCTTTAGGAAATAGTAGTTTAGATAGCTTGGCGGCTGCGAATAGCATGTTGGGCCTTACTCCCGGGCTAGGGGCGAGTTTGGGTAGCGGTCTCTCCAGTAGTAAGCTGCCGGAACTTCCTTCTTACGCGGCGTCTTTGCAAAGTCTTACTGGAATGGGTTACGACAAAACTTCGACTAGTACGTCAACGAGTTGTACTACGTCCGCTACTCCTATACCCGCGAGTGTCGCATCAAATTTGATGATGAGCTCGGCCGATATCGCCAACGCTTTGTTCTCAGCGAGCAAATATTCAAGCGCAGGAATTTTGGGAATACCTGATCCGATGTCGAAATCCACCTTAGCTGCGAATAATATGTTCCTATCTCCGTCCCTTCTAAAAATGCAGGAGTCGTTAATGAAGCCGCTCTCTAGTAGCAGTCCCATTTCTTCAAAAGTGATAGATCAGGGCTCTCTTATGAAATCTCCCCATGACCTGATGAAAGGAAACAAGGATGCCTACTTACCTCCCGATTTTTCTGCGAGCAAGGCGAAAGACAGTGTTATGGATATGAAAAGCGAAGCTGTAAAGGACGCACCGAAATCTATGAGTTTGGATTCGCAGGTGTCTGACTATAGTATGACGTCAAGGCTTGGTGATTCATACCTCAATCAAATGTTGGAACTTACGAAAAAAACGACAATACCAGATTATGCAACGGATTACAGCCAAGTGCGAAAACATTCTGAAGATGAAATACAATCTATGGCGACATCATCGCATCCGTATCCGGCCCCATCAAGTATTGCTGACTCAATGGCTCACAGCTTAGGGAATTACCCTGAAATGAATGATCCAATGGATTTCTGTAAGCCCCAAGATTATGGTATGAATAGAAACTCTAATGAATCTCAGAACTAAGTTGTGTTGAATGATGTTGCATTTCCGCCTCTGTGTGTATTTATCAGTAGTAATTATGTTTAATTAAATAATATATAAGGTAACGTGACTTCTATGTATATTATGATTGTGTACCATGTGCATTTATATTTTTATGGGCATACAATAAATGTCTAAAAAACACTAATGTCTATACTTTTTGTACTACCTTGTAAATTTATACTACCATTTTGAAACAATACTTACAGTATTTTTTCTGTTAACATAGTGCCAATATAGTAACTAAATATTATGCACCAGATTATATTATTGGGGTGTAATTAATGAATATTTGTGCAGACGTGTATAGCGGGTACGTCCTATAACACAAAAACATCTTAGTTTTTACTAAAGAAACATAGTATTTAAATATATAAATAGAATGTAAAAAAATATATTTTACGAATGTCATATACGGACATACGCCTTAGTTACAAACCGTTAAGATTTTAGCTTAAACAATTACTGATTATTGCGCAAATAAGTCCATAAAAATATTTTTATAGACACGATAAGATCTTAAAACGCGGCTTTGCTTAAATTGAAGAAATCACAACAATCTCTTTTAATAGCTGATAAATAATCAAATGATAATTATAATAATGACGCTTTAGATACGACATTTTAGTCATTCGTGGACTTGAATATTAGCTTGAACATAGTGCGGTTGCAAATTAATATAAAAAAGTTAAAATACCTACTAAGTGATAATTTATAATGTGTTTATTGTGATATTTAAGGTAAGTAGTAGTAGTAGACCAAGTAGATAGTGGGGTGCTCTGATTCGGTTTTGGGTACTTTTTGAATATTAAAGTAAACACTTTATTCTAGTAAGAATTAAATAATACAGAAAGTTGCAAACAATGCAATACAAGTACTAATTAGGAAATACAGACGAGTAGGTATCGATAATTTGAAAATTTTCGGAACCCTATAATCTATCAACACGAAATTAGGTTAATTTCAATGTTGATTATTCTATAACTTTAAAATTTAAAAAAATGAGGAAATAATCGATAAATAAAAAAAACGGTTTTTAAAGTGAATGTCACATCTCTTATAACCAATAGAAAAGTAGAAAATGGCGGATTGTTTACAAATTTCAATACATTGCACAAAACTTTTAATTTTTTTTTAAATACTTAGATGCGTTTCCGGCAGCAAAAATTACTTGGAGGTGTTCTAATGAAGGTCCCCTGCATAATCAGTATCATCAAATTCGTGCGACGATATTCAAAACTGTTACCCTAATGCCTTATATAAAACTTAATGTACAACAAAGAACGATATATCTTTTTTGTTCTAATTTTCCAACAAATGCACTCGCGTATTGTTTTGGTTGAACTGTCATGGCATAGCCGGTCGTACGTGAAACGACTAAAATAATTTCCAAAGCGCTATCTGTTATAGATTTATGGAAAAAAAAACAGTTATTCTTCTTACCCGTACTATGCTACTTTCCCGGGCTTCCCCTACTATCTTGAAATTATTTTTGTTCTGATAAAATAAATATGTAGTGATAAGTAAGATTCTGGTTATCGACTTAATGCACAAATCACAGGAACTTATGAACACATGTAAAATATTTATTTGTTATACACGAAAATGATAAAAAAATATTTTTTTTTTAAATCTTTGCAGACAAATAGGTAATGGCGGCCAGAAAGTCAGAATACAAGGGTATCCCAGATGACAGCGACATATCAGACTCAGAGTTTAACCCTCTTTATGATGACAATGACGAATTAGAGTACGTTTAATGTTTAAAATTGTATCTTTAGTTGCGCACAATTTGGCCTAAAAACAATACCTACTTATTGATAGATACAAAACGATTTTCATATTATACACATCTAGTGGTCGTACTTTATGAATTTTGGCCTCAGAGGTACGATCTACTTCACAGGATTTTGTATCTACCCACATAATGTGTCATACTAAATTTTCGGATATTCAAATTAATATAAAAAAAACGTTAGGGATGTCTTTATGAATGCAACAGTAGCGGTAAAAAGGGAACCTAACTTAGTTTGGTTTTTCATATAAGGGACTGGTTTTGAATGGTCTGTGGACATAGTTTTAATTAATTATCGACCTTTGACTTTGGTAGATACTCGATATATTACTACATTACTTTAATATCTTACTTTTAGTCAACGGACTACCCAAGAAACGAAAGGATGGAATCTATTCCGAGATGTTCCTATCAAAAAGGAGACTGGGTCTATGGCATCGACAGAGTGGGTGGACTCCAGTGTGAAATTTCTGAAACTCATTGCATATATTACGGTTTTTTCAGCAGTATTAGGTTCAGCTGTTTTAGCCAAGGGAACAATGCTTTTTATGAGTTCTCAATTAAAAAAAGGACGTCAGATTCCACATTGTAATAGCGCATTAGGTAGGTATTTTAAATTATTTTCTATTATTATCTATGCCTACCTACACCTACCTATACTTCGTGATAGATTTAATCCTTTCTGAACAATAGACAGAGATAATAGAAGTTGTAACAATCGTTACTATAAAGCAAGTCGCTTCTATGTACTTAAATCTTTTAAATTACGCTTCACTGTTTCATCGCGAACAAATCGCGCGGGTTAAAATTGTATTAAAATAGTATTTTTCTTATCATTTATGTGTGCACATGCACAAATTCTTATTGAGTAATAAACGAAAAGATTAATATCCTTTAACAATATGACATAATACACAAAAGCATTATGATTTTCAGCATTGGATAGGCAGTTTATAACGGTTCTTACATTGAAGGAGAGGATAACATGGCTTTGGGCGATAATCATTATATTTTCCATACCGGAGTTAGGAATGTTTTTGAGATCATTGCGTATATGCTTCTTCAAGACCGCTAGGAAACCTAGCCCAGGAATATTCTTTACGGTAAACACATCTGAATCTAATTGCGTTTGAATTATTAGAAAAAAGTAGAAATAAAGTAGTAACAATGCCCGAAATCCAAGCAAAAGGGTAATCAAAAGGTTCCAGATTTGAAACACTGAGTCGCCATGTAAGGCAGGACGACGGAGACATTGAAAACCCGAGTATTTATTAACTTAGTAGAGATATTCGTATACTAGCGAACTGTGGAATCGGCTCCCGGGAGGGGTCTTCCCTCAGAGATACGACCTCCAAATGTTCAAAAAGCGAGCCTACTCCTCCCTCAAAAATGGGTGTCTATGGGCTGCGTAGACTGCCCTTTTTGGTCGTCCCGCAAGCTCGTTTGCCCCTCTATTATATAAAAAAAAAAAATACAGAAACGGTTTGCAAACAGCTAATCGCAGGGCGCATCTAGTTATAATTGATACTTCTGATTTTTAACAACCATTTAACGCCTAATTTATTTTTAGGCTTTTCTTATAGAAACACTACATACAATAGGCGTAGCAACGCTAATCCTAATCATATTACCAGAGCTAGACGTGGTAAAAGGAGCGATGTTAATGAACGCCTTATGCGTAGTACCAGGAATCTTGAATATTTTTACCAGAGACACAACAAATTCTAAATATTATTTAATTCTTCTACTGGATATTTTATCGGTGTCTGCTCAAGTTACAGCGTTTGTTGTTTGGCCTTTGCTGGATGGTACTTCAGCATTGTGGACGATTCCTATGGCTACCATTTGCATATCATTAACCTGGTGGGAAAATTTTATAGGACATATTGATAGACAATCTTCGGGTAAGCAGATCTCCATCTAAACTCCGCATTCTTGTGAATCAATTAGTCAAAGACAATTTTCTAGATATAACTATGAATCTCTCTAAATTCCAGTATTCTTTTTATACCTCTGTGAGATACGCGATGAACTTAAAAAGACCCGATACTACACGCATAGAGTGCTAACTATTTGGAAAATCATAGTATTTATGATATGTATAATGGTATCTATGGAGTTGCAAGGTGACGACTCGAAGAAATTCTTTTCATGGGCTGCGGAGGCTTTTGGACAGCGAGAGTATTACGTGCATGAGGTAATATTAATATTAGATTATTGTAATAAAAATGATCCACCGATTTATTAGGATCTCAATAGCATAAACATAATTATTGTAATTACGTTATATATTATGTATACCTTTCAATCAAAACTTTAAAAAGTGTATGTACTGTGTAGTGTAGTTTATTCTGTAAAGAAAATATTGAGTATTGTGTCTTATTAGTATTTTCCCTTTTAAATTGAATTTATAGGTGTTCTCAACCTGTATCAGTGAATTGTTTTGAGATTCTTTTTTTATTATTATTAGTACGTGATAAGAAGTTTATGCCTTTAACAATAAATATTATTTTCAAAGTTAGAAGAGAATATATTTTTGGCGCTTCGTCGGGCGAGTAAGACAACTCTAAAACAAAAAAAGAAAAAGAAAGGGTTTTTTTTTTTTTTATTTACAAAAGGAAGAGGTTTGATGGGGTAAATTGGGGGGGGGAAAAAAAGGAGAAAAAAGGGGGGGGGGGGTGGGCGGGGGGGGGCCGGGCCGGCGGGGGCGGGGGGGGGGGGGGGGGGGGGGGGGGGGGGGGAAAAAAAACCCCGGGGGGGTTTGGGGGGGGGGGGGGCCCCGCGGGGGGGGGCCCCCCGGGTTTTTTTTTTTTTTTTTTCCGCCCCGGGGGGGGGGGGGGGGGGGGGATCCCCCCCCCCCCCCCCCCCCCCCCCCTCGGCCGCCGCCCCCCAAAATTTGGAAACCCCCCCCCCCCCCCCCCCCCCCCCCCCCCCTTTTTTGTTTCTCCCCCCCCCCTTCTTCCCTTTATTTGGCGGGGGGGAAAAATGGCCCAGAGTAACTCTAAAACAATTTTATCGCTCGCCTCGCGCCACTCGCAGTTACGTACACACGTTCGAGTCAAGATTGACGGCTCGCTTCGAGTAGGTTCGAAGGATTACTTTCATTTAATTCCATCGAGCCGGCTCTGTGCGAGCCTTCGAGCTGTGAGTTATGCGGTCCACACGTTGATTTTTACTCGACTTCGAG